CAACAAATATTACATTTATAGTATTACAACTAAAACCGTTTGATGCTGCCACCACAGTTTGTCCTTCATGAGCCCTCTTAGACAAGATGGCGGTGCAAGATGGCGGCTGCCTGTAGTGGCGACCCACTACCATGGAGATATAAACAGCAGGTAAAAGGTAAAAATAATAAAACAAGGTCTTTGTCTGCAATRATTAGACATGTTTTTTTATTATTGTCATTAATGATTATCTTAATTTCGGCAATAAGAATTKACAAAATCCTACACACTGTGCCTTTAAAGCTTCACGTCTTCAAAGAAACTACGGTACGGTTGTGTAATCTGGCTTCAATATCCAACAACAGGAGGAGGCAGGAACATGTGGTCAGGTATTATAACATGTGTATGCAGGAAACAGAAACAGGGTTAGATCTGTTTTGTCACTCGTGCTCTAATCAGAAGCTCAGTCATCACGCTCACTTACATGTCGCTGATGTCCAGAACGAAAGCAAACAAAAGAAAACAGAAAAAAAGAGGAAAATCATCATAAAGAGCACAAACACTGGAGCCATAGAGACACAACACAAGTTACACACAGCTGGAACTAATCTGAACTTAATGTGCTTTTGTTTTAAACAGCATCAGTTCACAGAACAGCTGATATCAGAAGTTTATCATCTCATTATTAATACTGTGCTGCTCTGCTGTCCTCAACACAAACTCTGAGGGTGGGAGGTGCTGTCAACACTGAACTAGAGACACTGAAATGGACGCTGATGGCACTGGGAGAGCTCTTTGGCAGCCATCTTGTTCAGTGCTACATGTATCACTGCTACATATGACATCAGTACGTAATTGTTCATAATAATATTTTTAACTTAATTAAACATATCATCAAGACTAATCTGTAATGAACTACATGCCCACCTTGGATGGCTCGTCCCGGATGGCCGCCACGCGTCCTTTCTGAGGCCGTCTGAGGACCAGAGCGCCACCGTAATGATCTGAGTTAGTGTCCATCATGGAGGACGCTGACACTGGATATCTGAAATCTGGAGTGCTGCCCAGCTGAGAACATCTGGAGAAATACAACTCTAACCATTAGAACGAATAAAAGCAAGGGATTAAAAGTTGATACTAGCAGTTAGCAGCTAACACAACTCTAAACATTAAAACAATAAAAACAAGTGATTAAAAGTTGATACTAGCAGTTAGCAGCTAACACAACTCTAAACATTAAAACAATAAAAACAAGTGATTAAAAGTTGATGCTAGCAGTTAGCAGCTTACCCGTGCAGCAGGGAGTTACTCCGGCTCCTATCCTGCTCGTTTTCAGCTCTCATTGTTTCAATCTGGATTAAGAGTTGCTCCTGCAGAAAAAAATATGTACAAACATTTTCATGCTGCATAAATAACCTAGTTTCTACCTTAAATACGTGTTAAAAAGAAAATATCTCAGGTAGAGCAGCTAAAAAACAATAAACTAATATTCCACTGAGACAGGAAGGAGAGCACTTCTTTACCTTCTCATGATGAGATTCTTCAATCAGCTTTTTGGTGTGTTCCAGTTCTCTAATGAGAGCATTCTGGACAGAGAAACATACACTCCTGACACTTTGATCATAAACATCTGTAAAACATATAAATCATCCTCCACCTTTCCTTCTAGAGTTACAAACTAACACCATGTTGTGTTGAGAAATGATTGATTTGCAGCAGCTTGGATCTGATGAACTGCTGCAGCCAGCCTGCAGGGGGCGCTGGTCCAGCTGTTTCAGAGCTCAGCTGTGATGGTAGAGCTACATCCAATCATTATTTCCTGCAGGTTTCATTAAAAACCAAAGTGGTTCCTGAGGTACTTTACTAACTGATAAAGGAACCAGTGTTTTGCACTGATCCCTCTCCTCATTGTTTGCCTTTCTTTCAGCAGCTGAGTCACCTTATCCTCCAGCGCAGACATCCTCTCCTTCAGGTGAAGCTGCAGCCTCTCGTTGGACTCAGACAGAAGTTTATCAACAGTCTCAGACAGACGCCTGTTGTGCTCCTCATTCATCTTCTCTCGTTGTCGTGCCTACGAACACAAAGATGTTCAACTTACTGCGTGTCTTCACAGAAACGCTACAGACACAAACAGAATGTTTAACGTTGACTTATAAACTTTCATCTCAGGAAACAAACACATGCATCAGATGTGTGTATAAATAAAACAGTAAAGTAAAAGCTGGATGTTTTCTCACCCTGAGCAGTTCCTGGTTCTTCTCCTCCAGCTGGGCCTCCAGCTGCCTCAGCCTCTCCTCCACGTTACCGTGGCGTTCTTCTGCCTGGAAGTGGAGGACAGTGATTACACTCTGATGAGTTTAATCTGCTGCAGTGACCCATCCTGGAGAAGGACCTTGTTCAGAAAAATAAATCTAGTTTTGGTTATGAAGACAAGTCTAAAGTCCTTCTGAAGGATGGAGAAAACTCAGCTCATATTATAAACAATCAGCCAAATATCATGCACCAGCTAAACAAAGACAGAAAAACAGCTCAACACACAACCACTCATTTATCCCACATTCACCATAACAACTGGTTTTACAGAGTTCTACCTGATAAAACAGGAACTATAAGAAGAACAGAAATATATTAGTGTATAATGACCCTGCTGTGTTAGACAGGACCATCATGTTTTATGATTTCCATGTTTATAAAGCACAAATACACCAGCCCAGATTTCTGTTTGAAATTGCACTTAACCAGGAACGTGTTTTTATTTTGTTTGGTAACAACGAGGACGATGGATGAAGCGTTCTGCTAACACAGTCTGGTTAAGCTCAATCGAGAGGCTGAAAAGCTGAACTTCCCCCAGAGAGAGTGGATGAAAGAGGTCTACCTGCATGAAAACATTACACTGAGGGTTTGAACATGGAGGCTGAGGGGGGCAGCATGGAGACGACACGAGGCACGACAACAAAAACAAACACAGGACAAGTGTTTAACCTTAATGCTATGGATCATTAAAGATGGAGATTACTGATTGAACAACTCATCTGACTCGTTTTACATCTATAAGAACAAACACAGGTCCTATAAGAACAAACACAGGTCCTATAAGAACAAACACAGGTCCTATAAGAACAAACACAGGTCCTATAAGAACAAACACAGGTCCTATAAGAACAAAAACAGGTCCTATAAGAACAAACAGGTCCTATAAGAACAAACAGGTCCTATAAGAACAAACAGGTCCTATAAGAACAAACACAGGTCCTGATGCTGACAGAGGTATCAGAGGTAGTCAGCTCATCTTCTATATGAAGGGAAATTAAACGGCAGGTCACAAAGGAAATGAATCATCTACTGAGAAAATAACCTGGACTGGTCAGCTGGAGGTCTTTAAAGAGATGAATAAACTGCTGCTTCATTAATACTGTTTATATATTTCAAAAGGGTCAAAATAAAAACAGAATGGATGGATGAGCTGTGGTGAAGAGAAGAGATTTTTGCTGTTKGCAGCTGCAGAACTCCCAGATGACTTTCCTGAATAAACCCAGTTTGATGAGGAGTGGGAGGTCAAAGKCTTGGAGGAAGAATTTACTTTAAATGTCCAAAATGTTGATTAGAACTGATATTTACAGCCGTTCAACCAAACCCAGCAGAAACCAGAGACACATCCTCAGAAAGGCGTCTTTTATCACATTGAGTTTCTCAGATGGAACCACAGCAACTCCTGTTGTCAGGACCAACAAGTCGAGCTCTTTTACTGACAGAAACCTACATCCATGAGCTGTGAAGCAGCTGCTGTTTGTGGTTCTGCTACACAAACCCTCTGTTTTAACATTTCCCTTACAGGTTGAAGGAAAACCTGTTTTGAYTGTATATTTCCATCAGAAGCTGTGAGCTGTGAAACACAGCGAATAGTCATTTTGTTAAAAGTTGTATTTTGAGAATGAGTTTGTTTCTAAATTAAGTCTCATGAAMAAATTTAGTTGTTTTATTTATTCTGAAAATACTTTCAGGTCAATATTATTAATCCAACACATTGGTAATGTAGATTTATAACATGTTTTATTAAAGTTCTTGTGGTTTAAGGCGTTATTTCCCAGATAACTAAACCAAGACCTCTCTTTTCATTAGTGTCAGTGAACAACTGGTCGGTCTGCAAACCTGACGCCCCTCAGACAAACAGGCTCTTCAGACTGGAGGGAGACGTACCAACAGGCCCAAACAGGCCTCTACTGCAGCCTGAAAACTGTATTCATGGTGTGAAATCATCTCTTCTTTGTCTGACCCGTCTCTGCACCACATATTAACAGAGTTTCCTTCATAAATCTCTTTAATTACATTTTAATCACAACTTGACAAACTGTGAAATAGATGAATTTAAAGAGACCCATCATTAACCACCAGCTGCGATAAATGCCTTTAATTCATTTATTTTTTTATTATCACWTCAAGACCTCTTTAGGGTTTTGTTGAGTCTGGTAATGTTGTAAACATTAACCCTTTCCTGATAGTGATGTCCTAAATAATGCCTTACTGAACCAGTTCATTGATGAATTATTGTTATAAACTCTGTATTTTTCCCCTACAGGATGTCATCTATAAGCTCCTGTGTTTAAAGATAAATAAAAGCTAAATGTGTTTCAGTTTTTTAAATGTTGAACAGCTGGAATCCTCCATCAGACGTKCCCTCCAAAACCTCCAAGTTTTGAGCTGAATTATTTGTTTTGGATTAAAGTGACTTGACTACACGGTGCAGCCATCTGGAATCAGGCTGACTCATTTAGTGGTTGATGAGATATTTTGCTAACAGACACACAAACCCAGGCAGAAGCAGAACAGCTCTGCTCCAGCTGTTCTGAAGCATTTTACAGACACAGGTGATGAGCAGGAGGTTTCTGTACCTTGGTGAGGGCAGCCACCCTCTGAGCCAGCTCAGCCTCCACCTCAGGGAGGCTCTCAGCTTTCCGGATGGTCTGCTGCAGCTTCTGCTCGGCCAGTTCCAGCTTCTCCTGGAGCTGCCGGTTTCTTTCCTCGGACTACAACAAACAGAGTCGTCAGCACACATGCAGCTCAACAAGGTGAAAAGAGAGAAAAGAAACAAGACTGGTGGGAGACAAAGCAGCGATGGGTGGGCAGGAAGTGAAGAGGAGAGCATTCAAACACAACACAGAGACACACAACAAGTGAAAGAAAAGCAGGAGGAAGATGTCTGTGTGTCCACTGACTGCATGAAAAGAACCAGCCAGGATCTTTTGTTCAGTCTGAACACAGAAGAGCTCATTCAGCAACAGAGGAATGTGTCCGTTTATTTATTAAACCATGCACACATTCACATCCAACATCTCTGCTATAAGATTTAACTAAATCCCAAAACTCCAGCATATATTTCACATAAAGCTCTCAGAACGGAGAGTTGTAGCTTTCAAAACACTCAGCAGCTGTGYTTCCATTCACCATGAAAATACGCAAACTAGAATTTCGAAAATAAATTTGCTCAATGGAAACAAGTCAATTTTCAAAAAACTTACTTTTTTTGACAAAATGTTTTTGCGCTAGGATGAGGTGGTTTTTCAGTCATGTTGAAATTGGTGTTTTTCACAAAACTGCAATGGAAACACTTTTTCACATCACCTGATCAACAACCGGCTGTTTCTACTGGTGAAAAAGATGACGAAGAAAACAGGAAGTAGAAGTAGTAGTAAAATCACGACTACAATTTSCCAAAAACACAGCATACGTAGCCGCTCCCAAGTAGGGACTTGTCTCTGGAAAGCCTCGATAAAAGACGCCGACGTCTCCTCTGATGATGAGCGCTAGTGTCGTGGTAGCAACATGCTATGTGTTTACATCCATCGCTGCCATGTTTGTAATGACTTATCATGAGAACAAACGTATTCACRTGACTTTAATAACATTTATTACTTAATGGAAACACCACAGTTGYGAAACTGTKTTTTTTAATATTAAYAGAATATCAACAGTTTTGCACACATTTGCGATGGAAACACAGCTGGTGTTTAGTTCAGCCTGCAGTAGTGTTGGTGTGTGAGGGGATGATTGTAAACCCTGTTTTTAACAGAAAGGTCTCATGAGGAAACATGTGTGTGTCATTACACACCTGCACACAGGTGTCACACAGAGCAGGACCTACCTGTCTGTACAGGGACTCCTTATTGGCCACTTCGTTCTCCAGCTTGTCGTTCAGGTCATGGACTGAGGTGGCCTCCCGCTGAGCAGCCAGGTAGCGTTTCTCCAGGGTGGTGATCCTCTCCTCCATGTCCTCCTTCTGGGCCATAGACTGAGGAGAAACACACCTGAGGTTCAGAGCACAGCTGGAGCCCACCTGTGTCACCTGAAGACCACCTCTCACCTCTCGGAGGTCTCTCTGGAGCCTCGTGTTCATGTCTTCAGACTTGATCAGGTCCTTGCGGGCCGTGTCCAGGTCCTCCTCCAGCTCACTGATGCGGGACACCATGGCGGCCATGTTGTCCTTCAGCTGGCCCAGATCGGCGGTCTGTCGGTCCACCACCTCCTGGAGCTCCCCGGCTTTCCCAAATCCAGGAGTGGACTCGTCTTCCTGACTCAGTGAGTCATCTGATGACCTCTGAGGGAGCAGGGACACACATTTCAGCAAACACACACACCTGCAGACACACTGATCTGTTACTGGACTGAATATCTAATGAATAAAAACTAATATCAGGGAACTGTTGGGTCAACAGAGCAGGTTCTGACATCAGCCTAAATCTACTGTCACTTATTATAAATGAGCCTGTTGCTATTTGAACCAAGACTTCTCAGTGAACTTGTGTCTTACACACTGTGAAACTAATCTACAACTCTTAGAAATGTAGGTTTTTGTCTCTTTATATAAAACACAGAGTCTGGAAACACTGATGTTCTTCTATTACTTGGTATTARTGCTGGGTGGTATACTGTTTTGTACCAAAAACCAGTTTTTATTTTTGTTATGATAAGACTTTTCTGAAAACCGGTGTAAATAGCCTGAACACGTGTGGAACGTTTGCTGCGGCCGTGAACTGTTTCCCTGGGGACACATTTCCTCACAGCACCRCTAAGCGCATTAGCATGCTAACGTTATTGTTGGGACAACTGGCAGCGGGTGGTGTGTTTCAGCCTCCTATATGGTCTGATGTAAAAAAAACATCCTGTTTTCACCATCACTGAACAGTAAACACCTCTTCAGTGTCGAGCACGGTTAGATTTAATGAGCTACGTTATAATGGAGACGTTATTGCATGGAGACTTTAACGTGCTTCTATTGTGAAAAGCCCGGGGGGAAGTAGTTTTGTAGTGTAGTGGAGWTGACTGGTGTGTAAGGTGAGTCGTCCTTTTAAGTTTTATTAACACGTAACGATTGACCAGATAATGATCTCTTCTCAACCCTTCATGATCGGACCTAAATGTGTGATTACTGTCTAAGAAAAGACGTTCAGAGGAGGGAAACAGTCAGACAGAGGTACAAGGAAAAGAAAAAAGTCTATAAGCAAAGTTGATACTTTCATTAAAATACTAAAAATGAACAAAACATTAAATTTAAAACAGATTCAAACACCATCCTTTTCCAGACTGACTCAGAAGCCCGAACATGAATGATTGTTAGGCTGACGGGTGTGACGACACATTCAGTTTTAAATCAGAGACCTGAGTGAGGAGAGCAGCTCACCTTGCCGTTAGTGCTCGGGGTGTTCTCAGAGTTGTGGTTGACCTCACTGGTTCCATCGGCCAGGCCTCTCTTCTGACCGCTCTGCTCTCTGAGGTAAGCCAGCTGCACACATCAGGCTCTTAGCACCAGGCTTTACTTATCGTTCATGAGAAACATGCACTTTACATCTGTTTACACTGTGCACACAGTGGAGCCTTAAAGTCTTAAGACTTTTATTTCTTTACGTTTGGCAGGAAAAAGAGAACGATGCATCTATTCAATGATAACCCTCATTATTTCAGCCTCGTGTCCWCATGGAAACATTTAACCATGTATGTTTTATTTACTGAAACTTTCCTGATGCATCTCAGTAATCCAGTTTGAAAGAATCAAAAAGAAAAAACAAACAGGTGCTCTGGATGGGTTCTTCTTTAGTGAAACGAGACTAAATGTTTCACTAAAGAACCTTTGATTTTCTGAAACCAGACTCCAGACTGAACACAACTTTTTGAAACAACGATGTCATAGTTCCACCTCCTGCCTCATCTACAACCACAACAACAATCCAGCTGCAGACACCTTGTTCCTCTGCTACACAAAGCCTTTGTGTGCTGTATTATTTCTCTAAACAAACTGATGAACACTACAATGAAAACAATTAAAACCCAAAATTATTAGTCCTCCAAATAATCCACAATAATCCAGACTCTTTTAGCACTACAATAGATAAATAATGATGTCGCAGCTGATACCCTGTAAGCTGTGCTGTGTGTCGATACACAGGTTCATCTGTTGGCTGTAGGAACTTCTTTATATCTGAATGATTCACGTCAGAGTTAAGTCACTTAGTACGAAAAAACATTTCTGTGAAAACGGTCAGCTAGGAGGAAGAGCAGTGTCTGATCTTTACACAAATATAAAGAATGAGATGTGGGTCGAGATGGCTCTGATCTGTGTGTGAGCATCTACGACACAGCAACAAACAATGTGTGTGTGCTGGGGTGCATCCTGAGTGACTGAGTGTGTGTGCAGGGATTTAAAGATGGCTGCAGCCTGAGATGAAGACGTTCAGAGGACAAACGTCCATTAATCACCTGGTTGTCCACAGAGGACTCCACAGCTCACACCATGTGTCTGCAGCTCAGCTTTACCGTCTTTAAATCACTCTTCAGCTTTTACAGAAAATTATATGATTATACAGAAGTGMAAAGAGCAGCAGCAGGTAACTGTAGCACTTCCTGAGACACTTCCAGCTACATTTTCATGATATTTCTGTCAGAATAACCAGGTAATGTGAACTTGAGCCCAGAATAAAAGTTTATATAAAGGTTAGAGAGCTCCGTCCAGCTTTAACTTGTTTGATGAACAGAGGACATGAAGGAGATTTTTATAACTGCTCTTCATAAGCTTTGCACACAAACCACTTCCACATGTCTAAAATATACTTTTAATTTTGTTTGACATGTCTGTACCTTTCTTCTTCCTGAAACCCTGTCCCTGCGTGCAACTCTTTCTAACCAAAGCTGCACTGATTTCTCACTGAAGCAGCTCTAAAGGTCAACATGAGTAAAGAAGTTAATGTTAGCAGATCCTTACTTCTTTGTGTGACATGGTGAGCTGCTCCTCCAACATGCTGCATCGCTCCAAAGCTACACGAAGTCGCTCCCTGACCTGGCAAACAGAAACAAACCTTCAGATCTTCACAGAACATTTTCTCTCCTTATTAATAAATTGATTTGTAGTGTTGTACCTTCTCATCAAGAGCTTTGTGGTGTTCAAAGAGTGACTTCAGAGCTTTGAGGACCTCCACCTCACTGGAGACGCCTGCTGGAGACTGAGCCTGCCTCTTCACCACCGTCATCCTCAGGCTGCGCTCGTGACGAGACACCAGACACTCCAGATGTTCCAGCAGGAGCTGCACACAGCAGGGTCAACAAGTCCGAGTCAGTCCTACTTCACACTGAGTCTGAGTCAGTCCTACACTTCACACTGAGTCTGAGTCAGTCCTACAACCCTTCATACTGAGTCAGAGTCAGTCCTACACTTCACACTGAGTCCAAGTCAGTCCTACAACACTTCACACTGAGTCTGAGTCAGACCTACAACACTTCACACTGACGAGTCTTTGGAGCAGAAAACAAACACACTTCCTGCTCAC